TAAGAAATGTAGCGTAATCATCCGTATAAAATAGTTGAAGTGCCTATAGTCGCGATAAGGGGCCGCGATTATTATAGGCGGGAACTTTATGTACGTATCTCGCACGGACGGTTCTTGTAACTCGGTAACAACAGCTTCCCGTCGACAGCCGAGAGGAAGAGCACGAAGTGTATATTCGGCTGCGACAGCAGCTGTCACGTTCGCAGAGCGCGACCACTCAGCCGTGAATTTCCGTCCTTGCCTGTCGACGTGTTTATCAGCCGTCGCGCGATTACGAGGCTAATGTAATCTCGAAACGTCACACGGTTGACCCGAAATACACGAGACACCTTTCTGCAGTCGCGCAGAGCGCGCAGAAGCTCGCCGCCTCGTCCTCTTCGTCTTCTTCGTATTCGCACGCCGCGGAAGCGCTGCTTATGCTCGGGATATGAAGGCTCACGGCGCTTTATGGCACCTGCCACTGCGTTTTTCCTCCTCGCAATTTGGGCTAATTAATTCCCGCGTGAATAAAAACTCCCTCCTCTATCCCCGAGGCGAGCCACCTCTCGACGCGACTTCGATCGCGATGGTGAAATCTCTCGTCGTTCTCAATCGCGAGCGGGCGTGAAAGGGTCTCCCCCAGGTGAAATTCAAGATGCCTGACCTCGTTTGACCTTGACCGAGCTCCGCTCCTGCGAAACGCCGGTGGAACCGAGCGTCAATGTGCGCGTGCGCGCTTCGTCGTCCGAAAAGATCGTTTTCGAATTCGCGGACTCTACCGGTCATGCGGTCTTACCGTGTTTGTCTTCGCGATACCGTACGATGCTACGAGCTACGGTGCAGAGAGAGAGAGAGAGAGAGAGAGAGAGAGAGAGAGAGAGAAGAAGAAGAAAAAATTGCGTACTCGTTAGGTTTTCGAACACGGCGAGCAGCAACCGTAATCCGTGTCCAATTGCAGCCTGGTATCAGCTTGTAGTTTATCGAGAAACCAGGTAGACGTTCGAATCGCCGTGCCGATCTGTGATACGTAGAAACGAGATAGACGCGCGCGTAACGGCTTCAAGGTGGCTCGTTACAACGGGCGGGGACTCACGGCAGACGAAGATACATAGCAAACAATGGGCAATAATGGTGATATACGTCGGCCGCTGCTTTGTAGTAAGTTCGATTATCCGGCCGGTTAAATACGTGACTTACCGATGTCGAGTAGCTTTAACGAGAGGCAAATCGGCGGAGCGTAGTATCGTATCTGTAGGCGATAAGTAGCCTTCCGCCGCCGGATATTCGGAAAAAAAAGAAAGTCAAACAACTTCCGCGGCTCGTGACGATGAGAGGAGAAAGAGCCGACGAAATTCACGAGAAATCTCCATCTCGGCCTGCGCGACCGAGCGCGAATCTAGGACGATTAATCGTGCGAATTCGATCGTTCTTCGACTCGGGGGAGCGTAAACGAAGCGCGCCGCCGCTGGTATTCGCGAGTAAGCGGAAAGTCATCGCGGCGCGAATAAATACAGAAATATGGCGGTATTTACCGTCGCGTTATTAAAAAGGTCGAAGAGTCCGATCGAGAGTACGACCGACCGTGAACCGGATCGGAGGTCGAGGAAGGAAATGAGCTCGTTGAGCTCGTGGGGTGGGCAGTAAAACCGAAAGGAAGTGCACGTATGGGAACGATTACGTCTGGCGCGCGCGCGTGTAGCAAGTTTCTAATCATTTTCAATTAGATACGCCGACTCTCGCGGTAGACATCGCGACTTCAAGCACAATCGACTTCGGCGAGCGAATCCATCTTGTGTAGCTTGGCAGCCTAACGCAATCGCCCGGCCGCCTGCCGCGTTGGAAGCGTCTTTCGCAATTAGCATACGATAATTGGGACAACGTTCTCGTTCGAGCGATTGTAACATCGAAGATCGCGCGCGGTGGAAAGTGGATTAAGGAAACTAATGAAGAAGAACCCTCTTAATCTGGGTCCGTTGAAACGCGTCATCTCCGCGAGGAAGAGGCCACGATTAAACCTTCGTGTCTTCGTCTAGGCGTTGCTGCTCGCTAGATTTGCTTCACGCGAGCTGGATTTGTTGTCCAGTTTAAACGTGTGATGTATACGACGTTGTAATCTGTAATCGAGTATATTCCATTCAAAGACGAATCCGAGTGCATCGCTTGAGACAAGATTCAAGCGACGGCCATTGATACAAGTCTTCGAAATAGATGCGCGGTCGTGTTGCACGTGCCGCGGCTTAACCGTCGCGAATGTGAACTTCGGATCTCTCACGGATGGATGGATCGAAGGGTGCCGGCATCGCGATCCGCTCGCTGCACGCGCGAGACGCTAGACGTTGCGCTTCCGCGGGGAGTGCGTTCACACGCGACCGCCGGGCGCGCGACAGCCGGTGGTCTCCTCTCGAGGGTTCAAGGTCCACCCGCGGGAGTGATACCTCACCGCGACCGGAATAATGGAAAGAACCGTCCTGGGAGTTTCTCATGGAGTCAGGGACCCCGCGGCCAGGTTCATTGCCGCCGCCGCCGCGTCTCCTCCCCTTTGTATCTGCATTCTTCTGCCGTCCATTCCGAAGTCGCCACGCTCCGCTCTCGTTCGCTCGTTCATTTCGCTCTACTTCGGGAATCGCTTCCAGACACCTTTCTTACGTTTCTCCCGCCCTCCCGCGATCGGCGACAATAACGACTCGTCTCTGCGTCGACTCGAGTAATTATTCGGAAAATTTGACGGCTGGACGCTCTGGTCTGCTTTCTGGAAACTCGCGAGGACTCCAAGTTATCACGGAAGAGTCACACCTCAATGAGCAGTCGACAGGCCTGATGTCTCCTTCTTTTTTCGCCTTTTTTTTTTCTTTTTTTTTTTATTTCTGAAATGACCCTCTTGTTAGTTTATTGGCTTCGCGTATGAGCGTCGTTATTCCTCCGACAAAAAAAAAACACGTCCGCGTCAGTTCCTTCCTGCGACACGGCGTCACGCACACGTGAACGCGGTACGGTAAATAATACATAGGAGGTAACGTAACACACGCGCGCGCGTCGCGTTGCCGCTTCGGCTCGTAAGCGGATAATCCGTTTCAATGTGCAGAGAGAGAGACGAAGCATTGTTACACCACCGAGACTAATTACGTCGCGCTCGCGCCCGCTCGCGATCGACAGCTTACTTACTTAAGTCGCGCGCCGCGGTATTAGGGTTAATTTCAACTTGTCAGATTTAATCCGCCAATTTGTTTCTCGCCGCGACACGTTCGCGATTATGCGCGATTATTATGTAGGTGTGCGAGTGCGCGCGGTTTTTCTCACGATATTTTATCCGCAGCTATTACCGGCGTAATGAATCCGACGTATTAACGTGCTTAGCGATCCGATTAGCATCTTCTCTCTCTCTCTCTCTCTCTCTCTCTCTCTCCCCCTCTTCCCTCCGATCCCTCCCTCCCCGCGGTCGACGTTGCGACCGAGAGCGGGAGAAATGATAGACGGCGAGTTACAAAGAGTCGCGCGACACGACACGTTCTTCCGATTCGATTCTCCCGCGTTTCACCGTATTCGTCGCATCGCGGCGACGGCACGCCACGTTTTATATTCAAATACAGATATTACGTTGCCGCTCGGCCTCGATCGTTGCTCGTCCGTAATGCGGCTGCGTCTTATGATCCGTGACCGCATTTTTCCCCGGATTAACGAACGTTCAACCCAAATCGTCGCGTCACGATGACAAGCAGGGAGAAGAGGGGCAGGGAGGGGGGCTCCGGTGCTCGGAGATTACCGGCGAAAAAATGGAGTCACTTTCGAAAATTGCCGTGCGAGATGTGTGGTGTGTGTCTCTCGGTGGTCTCGCGCCGGAAGTAGACCGGAAATCGGTCGTCCCCCGTCGTCAGTAAGACCACTCGATTTCACACGCGGATCTTCGCTACGTGAACACGGAATTTACCGAAAGTCTCGCGCGTGCGAGCGGGGGGAGTCAGTTGCGAAGATCTGTGTACGATTCGGGCGTTAAGAGCGCAATTCTCAATTTAAATGGGTGGGATGTTTACGTTACGGCACATGTTACATTGTGCTACCTCGCTGGAGATTCGCCGCATCCTTCGCGAATGATGTACTTTTTATACACGGGAACAAGATATTAATACACCCTCGCGCGCGCTGTATAGAAGCGTAGAAGAAGAGACGAGCACGCGGCCGTCAGATGTGAAATAATCGCGGGTTTCGCGCGGCACAATGTCGCGGCGTTTCTCCCGCACATCCTGTCGCCTTGCGTTTCGCAAGGAAGAAACCCGCCTCGACGCGACACGACACGGGGGAGTAAACGTCGCTCGGCCGGCTCGTCGAAGGGCGACGTGAGACACGCTGAGCCGAGTGTGTTTATCCCATATCGCCTTGTATCACTCACGTTTTTCGTCTCTTCCCCCCCCCCCCCCCCCCCGCCTTTTCTTCGGTCGCTCGCTCGACAGGATGTTCCATTCACGGGACTTTTGAAAGGCGGTAACTATAATGACCGACTGACATCTCGCGTGAACGCAACCGTCGTCACGGCATTCGAAAGCACGCCGCCGTGTCGTCCGCGAACATCTCCATTGTTAACAAAAGAGGGGAAAAATAACGCCGGGATGGATGTAACTCCGTCGAAGATCGCTTCGGGATAATTTGCGATTGTATACGGATAAAGAGAGAGAAACGTCGCCGAGGCGCTCGCGCGCGCAGGAAGCGCCGCGGGATCCGCAGACTGTAATTTGGTCCGCTTGATCGTGCACGCAACGAAAATACTTTCCCGCCGATTTTTTCCTTGTGGCTCGTGATGACACGTTTTGCGCTCTGCCGGAGGACAAGCACTTTGCGTACGCTCTTTTCGGCGCGGGAAATAAAACGAGAGAGAGAGAGAGAGAGAGAAGAGAACGCGCGTCCGGATTTCTCTTTTCTTGATCTTCTCTCGCCTTGAAATCGAAGAAAGGAAGTACTCTCGCGCGGGAATTTTTCCTGCAAGTTTTTCATCGTCCACGTTACAAATTTTTTTTTTTTCCCCACCCAAGGTCGGCGACGGCAGCATCATAGTGCTGGACGCGACTCTGGACGCATCCACGACCGATGACGCCGAGTGGGAGGTCTCCGGAGGTCCGCCATCGCCCTGCGACGTGTCGTTCCTCAACGACAACGTTCTCATCAACGGACGCAGCAACCTCTCGAGGACACCACGAAATCACAAGGTGAGTGAACTCCCGCCTCGCGATTGTACGGCTTTTCCGCGCGAATAAATAAGCAAGCAAGCAAGCAAGCAAGCAAGCAAGCAAGCAAGCCTCGACCAGAGTCCTCGTCGAGGCTTCTCAAGATTCTCAATCGCGGTCGTAAGAATACGCGTCGTAAACATTTGCAATGTAAGGCGTCGATTAGACGCACATACTACGCCGTTCGTATTATATGGATCTTCTTATCGGCTTCTCTCGCTCGCATTAAATATACGGGTGTCCCGATAAGGTTCCGCGTTTATCTAATCTAATCGACGCTCGTGCGATTGCGATTTGCGGCTAGGTCGAAAAGCGCACCGCGCGTAATAATGCGTATTACTTTCGAGATCGCCGCTCTGCCGCAGAAAACTGCGCTGGGAGAAAACAAAAGCTCTCTCTCTGTCCTAACCGTTCGTGAGATCGGGACACGCAATGTGTCAGCGTGACTCCCACGTAGCGTTAGGAGATTTCTTTCGCTGGGGAGAGGAGAAAAAGAAAGAGAGAAAGGAGGGAAAGAGAGCAGGGGATTAAATGTATTTTTGGCTCACGATAAAACAGGCGTCGGTCTCACGCCTCTCTTGACACGCCAGAAACGGCGAGCCGAAATTCTCGCTCCCGACGGCAAGATATTTTTTTCCACGTCTCTCCACGGTGATGCAAAAACCGATCGCATCGGTAAGTCGTGTAATTCATTCGGTGTCGGGTTTTATACTGAGTGCCAGCCGCGGGTCTCGCGAAATATTTACACGCGAGCAGAAGAGCAAAAGCCGATCCGCGCGATCTCGTACGTTGCGTGGCCTGTTAACACTAAAAAAAACTCGGCACAGTTCCACCGCGCGTGGAGTTCCCAGTATTGTCTGGTTTTCGAAATATCGCATTTAATTAAGCATCGCGCGTTCGTGCCGCGATTAGACAGAGTGTTAATTCGGACGCGCGACGCGCGGCGCGGGATTTATGTCTACTTTCGAGCTGTAATAAAACGATTCTGCGCCGAAACGACCGCCACAGTCGTTTCGCCTGGTCGAGCCTGAAGGAAGCAAAACTTTCTCTGCAATCAATAACGATTGTTCTCGGACGATATTCGTATAAATTTAAGAATCCCCTGAAATTGATTTCGAAATTTTCTTTCAGAAATTTTCCTCGCGCGTCTCGTTGAAGGCATGATCGATTGATTTTTTTCTACAACTTCGGCGTTAGTCGAGCGTGTTATTCAATCGTTAAAATATTAAAAAATGTCGAGAAAGCGTGAACGGCGAATCGTCCGATACCTTATCCGTCATTAGGCTAGGCGTCGAGTGTGCGCCGCAATTGCGATTTTCTTTTCGCACGGCGAAATAGCACCGATGCGATCTATATCGCGATCTATATCGGTGATAGACGGCGAGCGGGATAAGCGAACAAAGCGTCGTTTATGAAAGACGCGAGATACGCGCGTGCGTAGCGCGGACTGCCATCGGAACACGGCGGTTCCGAGCCCCGCAATAATGCGCGCACAATAATGCGCGCGTTACGCGATAGAAATATTCACGACGCTGATAACGTATCGCGGAGGAGGACGCGCGGCTTCGCCGAGAGAGCGCAATTGTACAAATATCGATATTAATAGCCGTGATATTTCGCTCGGCTACCGCGTGTGCCGCTTCGAAATGCCCGAAAAATTAAACCAGAGTCCAAAAGGGGACGCACTTCGCCGTGTAACAGCTGCGAATGAGAAACGCAGGCGGCGAATGCGCGAAACACGCCGCGGAATTCCGCGAACGGAGTCGGTCTAAATGTTAATTTACGGGGACCGGTCGATGAAAATGCTCGCACGACGCGTGGAAAGTGGGATAAAGCGAATATGCGTCTTAACGAGAAATGTCCTGAATAATTAATACCGCATATCGCGTTCCAGCACTTCGTTAATTTTTACGGTAATGTTCCTCGCGCGCGCGCGTGCACGATCGTGTATTTATTCTTCGATCCGACCTCTGGAGGGCATTTCTGAGCATTTCTCGCTGCACGTGTATTCGTACGATCGTTAAATCTCGCTTTTGACAATTGCGCAGGCCGATTGCGGGATATCTCTCACGATATCTCCGTGAATGACGGTTTGTAATTATGTCCGATCCGCAGTTGCGATCGTTTCTATTAAATCAGCCGCGGTCTTTTTCGCCGGACAGGCGGCGGCGGCGGCGTTTCGCTCAATTCGCGAGACTTTCTCACGCGATCGCGCGCCGCGTCGACGCGACGCGACGCGACGCGACGCGACGCGACGTTCCGCGAGCTGAGGAGGAGGCAGCGCTTATTACCGAGGCCGATAAAACGGCAATTTGTAAGTAAAAGTATCGTGTCCGCGGAACGACACGGTGATTTTCGAGCGCGCCTCGTCGATCGAGTTAATCTACCGTGCACCATGGGAATAAACATCGGCGAATGATTCCGCGGGCGGATGCCACGGCGAGTCTGGGATACGGTAAACGCAAGGGACCATACGCAATCGACGGTTCGTCGATCGACGTCGTCTTTTCTTCATTCTCTTTCGATCGAAATCGCTCGAGTCGCTCGGCTCGTAATCTCAGACTGTCGCTGCGACTCGAGCAAAAAACGCAGGTAAAAGCTAGCTGAAGCGCTGCGTTTTGTATCGTCTATCGTGCTTCTCGCTGTCGCTTCGATTCGAGTTTGGAACCCGATGCCTTCCCGCATCGACCGACCGACCGGCTTCCTCGAGACTTCCTCGAGATTTATATTTCAGTGTTCGTGCACCGTGTCGGATTGATGGAAACGCCGGAATAACCGATCGCGCATTACATTACGACGTGGAATTCCTTCCTGTGAGTTATCGCGGAATGGTGCTCGGCAGAGCACCAGAAAACGCGGCGGTCGCTTCCTGGATCAATGATCCGCGGATTTGCTTACCTCAGGTGTCGCGCACCTTCTGACGCTTGTATGCAGAATACGGAGAAAATGTTTGCGGGAGGCGAGAATCAAGGAGGGATGAAAATTTATTTACCTTGCATTCGTACACGTGATAGATATTGCCGTTTTATCTTTCTCTCGCGCTCTCGCTTTCCTCGCCTTCGGAATCACGTTACGTGAATCTGAAAAAGATGATAAACACGGGAGACATATAGAAGAGGATGATAAAAGGCGCGCAGCGCCTTACCAAATGCCTGCGAGATATTACACAAATTTCAGACAAGACGCATGGTTGCCAGGTACTACAAAGACGCGCCTTTAACGTGTTCCTCTTAAGGGCATATCTGAGGAATTCCTCGCGCATGCTATCGTCTCCGCATACCTTTCGTGGTCTCGCAGTGGGAAACTCGTTCTTCTCGTTTCTGCGTCGTTTTCATTTTGTTTTATTGTACCGTAGTCGCGATACGATCTAACATCTATGACTCGCGGAGATTAACGCTTACTTTGCATCTTCCAGCCCGATACTCGACACGAAGACCGCGCAACACCTAATAACTCCTTTCGACAAATGTCCACAATTTTACACCTCGAGTTTGCAAAGCGATCATATTTGTCTTGCCCGTGCAACGGATTACTATCACGTAACGCGATGGATAACGGTTCAGCTGCGTCTTATGTGCACGCAGAAGAATTGCACAGAGTGGGGATCCTCCGAAAAGCCTAAATCTCGTTGGCGGAGACTAGAACGTCCAGCAACGGCCAGAATGAGAAATTCCTGAGAGACTTTGTTCTCTCTCTCTCTCTCTCTCTCTCTCTCTCTCTCCTCTCTCTCTCTCTCTCTCTCTCTCTCTCTCTCTCTCTCTCGCTCTCGCTCTCGTCGCGAGAGACAACGTGTATTTTACGATCGCACTCGGTGCGATGCGTGTGTCGCACACATTTTCACTCGGCCAACAACAATCGCTTTTTAACCGCCGATATTCGCGGCCGCGCGAGCGCGACGCGGCCAGTCGGAGAGCCCGTCGAGTAATAAACCTCTCTTTGAGCGCCGGAGCCAGCCGGAGTGGTCCGCTGGAAAATCAGGACAAAGAGAGTGTAAGACGCGCACGGCCCTACGAGGTTAAACGTCAGGCTTATCGAGCGAACGTTCCTCGTGAGAAACTTTTTCCGCGCGCGAGGCAAGGACTCGCTCGAAACGCGCGCGCGCGCGCTGCGTGAGATATGCGCGAACGGAGGAGTCCTGAATTTTATTTAAAGCGCACTCGCGCGCCTTGCGTAACTGTGCTAACGCACGATCCAACAACCTCTTGCAACCTCTCCCGCGCTATCGCGCAACCGTGAAAAGGCGTCCCGTTTGTTATCCGCGTCCGAAGAGCGAGTCGCTCCGCGCTATTATTGAAAGTGCACCGCTAACAGATTTCTCGCAATACATTTCTATAACGCAATATGTGACGAAGCTGCTCTCTGAATTTATCCGAGTGGAATCTCAGCCAATTCGCGTGTGTGAAAAATGGCAGTATTCTCGCTCTACGGTGAAAATATTGCCGCGCAAAATCGCGACGGTGAACTCAACTTCACTCAAGCTCAGAGCGGATTTTGATTCTGTACGAGCGATTATCTCAGTCGATTAGAGCGAACAAGTTCCTGTGACGCTGAAGTACATCAGATTTGCTCTTCCATGTGCCACGCGAAAATGAAGTTTGTTCGAGGATCCAGAATGGAGAATAGTCTCTTTGACGGGAAAGTCACTCAACTTTGATTGATTCGACCATCACGTTGCTCTTCGAATGAAAACTGTCACTCGGAGAAATTTAGAGTATACGTGCTTATAGCGTAGAGATTAAGCTATTAAGGGGGCTATTAAGGGGGGAATTAGAAACGGTCAGATCAATGGACTTGAAATTATATATTATTCATTATATATTATTCAGTATATTCATTAATATTCAAAGTATAAAATAAATTTTGTTGAATCACAAGAACCGGTCCAATTTGTAATTATAGATAAAAATCGAGTCATCCGTTTGCGAGCTCTATGTTTCCTGTCGACATAATTCCGGGCCTTTCACTTCTTTAAAATCAAAAAC